GTCTGTTGTGCACGTCGATAGGAATAAGGGGCGGTAATTTCTGGTTGGTCTAGCCGGAACAGAGAATTGAAGACGCCCTAACAGAAAAGAAGAATCTATATCGCCAACAACCAACTTATGTAGAAAGACAACACCGAGAATTGTCCTACGGTTGGTTAACGACGGAAGATTAAGAAGAAGCAGCTTGCTGGAATAGGATGGCAACCGAAGATTAGGGTCCCAATTTAAAACGCGTAAGGCAAAAAGCAGAAATTGCTTCTGAACAGATTCAATACGATCCTGGCTATTGTTATACTGCGGAGACCAGATGCAAGAGCAGTATTCAAGGATAGGGCGAACAAGAGAGATGTACAGAAGTTTCGTTATAAAAGGATCGTTAAACTCTTTAGACCATCGTTTAATGAATACAAGTACACCTTTTGCCTCATTAACGATGGTATCTATGTGAAGATTGAAACAGAGTTTAGAATCAAAAAGAAAGCCTAGATCCTTAACTGTTAGTATACGTTGCAATGGGGTATTGGCGATTGTATAACTGACCAGATAAGGTGTAGTACGATTAAATGTCATAAACTTACACTTTGAACAATTCAGATGCAATTGATTGGCCGAGCACCAAAGTTGCATAGCGTTCAAATCGTCTTGAAGACCAGAATGATGTAGGGGATTGGTGTATGATAGAATAAGTTTCACGTCGTCCGCATACATGAGTACACGGGCATGGAATATAACAGAGGGAAGATCATTTATAAAAAGAGTAAAGATGACTACCTTGAGGAACACCAGAAGTAACGTGAACCGGTTTAGAGGTAGTCAGCCTCAGCCCTTCTTGGCAATTGCAGCGATCTTGTCGCAATCACGCCCAGTGAGACCTGCACATTTAGCATGCATTATATTCTCACACAGCCAGCAATTAACAAATTGCGGCAATGCAGAATCATCAGCCTGCTTGAACGTTCAAGGTTTCTTACAGCACGACATAATTACTACCAGCGTTAAAAGAATAAGCAAAAGTTGCGAGAGCGCAGAGCAAAACGAAACACGGTGCACAAGAATAGAGCAAGTAAACGCTCAAAAAATAACTATTCGTACACAAACAAATTGTTTGGAGCGAAAAGCAACAGCAAAAATTTGCGAGAGCGCGATGCACAAGAATAAATTTGCAGCAGCGAACACACGCACATACAAGTGTTTGCACAGGGGAGCACCAAAGCAAAAGAATCAAAACAGGCAATGACAACAATACGGAACTGACGCCGTGTTTAATAAATGCAATAATTAACAGACTTACGCTGCACAACAGATAACACTTTGCACAAGTTATAAAAGCTTTTTAAGTAAAGCACAAAAAATGCAAAATTTGGAAATAAAAAGCAGGATTTAAGCGCAAAAATATATAAAAATCTTGGAGCACAAGTAAAACACGTCAATCACTCTCAACTGGGAACTCAATCTATAGAAGCCCTCCTCAATTCGTTTCTTACATCCTTGATAGCTTACCGCTCGATCGTGTTAACAGTACTTCTAATGAAGTTAGTGATCTAGGTGTCATCCTTCATCATGAATTTAAATTCGACTCTCTTCGTGGTCAATAAGGCCAGATTTGTTATGGGTTTCATCAAGCGATGGTCGAAAGAGTTTGAAGATCCGTTCACGACAAAAACCCTTTATATATTTTTATTACGACCTATACTTGAGTATGCCTAATGTATCTGGTCACGACAATACGCTATCCATCAAGCGAGGGTGCCGTCACTTTGGCGGCGACTATCAGAGTAAGTAGACGTGTGCCGGAGTTGCAGAAGGAAAACATAACCCCAAAACGGGTAGCGGAGCGCTAGGGCTCCAGACAGTGCTCCAAGGTTTTCTCGTAGGGAAACAGAGTAGGCTAGTGCTTAACAATTATAAAGAAGCTTATGTGAATAAAGTAATACTCATCAAGATGTCTGCTAATCCTTGTCATCTTTTATTAACACTAACCTCGGGTACTCAACATAACCTTCCATTCCTAACTTAAACCGTAGTATCGATAGACGAGGCTTCATTACGTCGCTTACAATAACCCCTTTCTTAACGAGGATTCGTTACGTCGCTCATGGTAACCATCCCAACAGTAGTTTGTGTGTGGGCTGGGACGGACTCTGGCAGGGACCGCTGTGCTATCCATCGAACACTGAAGGTCAGCGCAGGCCTTTCCGCTAGAAGGATCGAAGGCAGAGTAGCGATATTTGTGACACTTCCCCTCTCCCTAAACCCTCCATCCCAACAACTAACAAATGTCTTGTAGGCTTGCTGAACCCGGCGAGACCGAGATTTGTACCCCGGCCAGTAGCTTCTTTACAAGTGGCGCGCGAGCAGGGTCATAGACGGCGTGGCCTGTTTGCGGATTAAAGCCCCACAAATATTCCCAAATAAGTGTTCTACAAAAAAAAAATTGCCAATAGGGTATTTTTGAGTCGGGCATACCTTAGAATGTATGTAGCAGAGGATAAGAGAAAGGGAATAAATCATATATGGGTAAAATTCAAGTCTAGGGTATTAGTTAGACGAGCATACCCTAGCAAGTGCATCGAATCAACGCTTGCACCCGTGTGCTCAAACGTGCGCCGCAGTCGACGTCGGCGTCGAAAGGCCGTTAAGGCGTCGCGACAGCGGCTGTACAGTGGTACGAATTTAGTTCACGCGCGGTGAAAACTGAATTCATCAGTACAGTTGAAGAGAACAATGCCAACGGGTGTGTTTAATAAAAAAAAGTGAACAATAAAAACAGCCAAGTGCAAAATAACAAAAGATTAAATGAACCAGGATTAAAGTGAATTAATTTTTGTTGTTTGTTTTATCTCAGTCTGCCAAAACGTTAGAGCCGCCATCCTGGGGAGCTTCACCCGACGTTGGCGGACGGCCGCGTCAGAAATCGGAACCAGACCTGAAGAGCTCGCAACTGTACGAGCGTCTGCAGATTCCGACCCTAGCTTAGCCGTCACGGGTGTAGGGGAGGCTCATGAGGTTAGAAGAAACGGAGCCGGCCAAATGACAGCGATTGGCACAGAGCTAGGGCGAACCCCTTACGAAACGAATAGCGGCCCTTATATTCCCCGGCCATATTCTCAGTCGGAGGCTAGGCCACTTTCAAACGTTCCGGAAGTGGGGTATGAGGTATAATGGCCGATCCGGCCCCCTTAGATTCCTTGAGGACCTCGAGGAGCGGGCTATCACATATGGGATGAGCGAGGTATTCTGCGACAGGGCCGCTCGTTGGTTCTTGAGTAGTGGACTAAGGGATGTGCCCCGGTCAGTGTTTAGGATCGATTTCTTGGACTTATTTCTGCCACCGCGCTATTTTGAAAGGGTTGAGGACGAAATTCGGTCTCGCCGGCAGCGCGTGGAGTAGAAATTCATGGAATACCTAGTAGAGCTGTGGGCTCTAATGCATCACGTCAGACATAAGCCGGTGCAGGAGTTGCACCGGATATACGAGAATGCCGCCCCCGAATACAGGCTCTACGAGCGACGCAAGATTTCTCCCCCTTGTTCCAGTTGACGCAGTTGGCTATGGAGCCATCTTTAGCTTGGGTCGGGTTGATTTCTATGCTTTGGAGTTGGGCTTCTCGGAAGAAGGTGCTTATTAAGAATAGCATTAAATATGCTGTCAGTTTAAGTTGGGCTTTCTTGGCCATTCGATCTGGAATTATCGTATTTGCTTATATTAATTTTATTTTTCTTTATAAATTTAGATTTGTCGTGTGTAATTTTTCTACCTCTGTAAGTTTCCTCGAAATGCTTATCGTCTAATTGACTGAGGTTTCCCGTTTTCTTGAATGGGATTGTAGTTTTGGATCTTACTAGAGGTGGCTCCTTAAATCTAGTGTCTATTTCAAAGTCTTGGCGCTTTTCGTTTAAATTTGTTATTTTATTAAGTTTGTTTTCCTGAGGGGGTTCCTGCATAAATAAAGATGTCAGCTGGTGTTCTACCAGTTGTATTGTGTTTTGTCTTATGGTTGTACGTATAACGTATCGTTTCAAATTATGTTAATTTGTTTTCTGGATCGGACTCACTATTTATTATTCTTAGCTTTTCGATAACTGTTTTGTGGAATCTCTGAATGTCAGAAATTCCATTTTTACTAGTCGAGCCGATCTCTGCTGTTTATCTCTATTAATGCTGTTTATTTTGAGTAAATGTCTATGCAAGATAGAAACTGTCTGTTGTAAATGATATAAACATCCATGAAGTATTTCTTTTAGGGGGTTGGACGTTTCTGGAGTCGTTTGAATGGAGAGTTTAGTATTTCTGTGTTTCCTTTTTGCATATTTCGCATTCATTTATGATATTTTGTTTCAACTTTTGGTGATCAGGGTAGTAATATTTTTCTTTAAAAAAGGCTGTATGCAATAAGTACCTGGATGCAATAAGTCTTTATGATTTTTAAGGATGATTTCCTTGAAGTGTGCATAGGTTTGGATATCTATAACTTGTTTGATGGATTTCATTACTTTTGTTAGGTTACCTGGATTAATAATTTCAATGAAGGCATTTTGGAAAATTATGAAGTCTGCTTCATTATGGAAGTAAATTACACTTTTCTTAGTGCATAAATATTCTTAGTCATTTCCTGATAAGAGATTTTAATTTTTTGTTTATGGAATAAGCGTATTGTTTCTACTTTGTTACTATTAGTTTTTATGAATTATAATTGCCTGTTATAATAGTTAACGGGTCTTTCTGTGATAGGAATATGATTTTCGTTATCTTCCTGTGCACATTAGATTGTTTCACCTAAGCTTTTTGAAGTTTCGCCCAATAGATTTTCCCCTATTTTGGTTCGCGATTAAGCGTCCGCTAATTAAGTTTCTTTTCCAGGGACATATTTGATGTGGTAATCAAACTCATTTAGCTTGATTTTCCATCTTTGTAGTTTCATATTGGGTTCTTTCATGCTGCTTAGCCAAACTAGGGGTTTGTGATCGCTAAGGATCTCGTATTTTCTTCCGAATAAATAGGACCTGAAGTATTTGGTGGCCCAGACAATAGAATAATTAATTTCATGTTCGTTTAATGTTCTGCTTGCATAGCAGATTGGTTTGTGATCTTGTGATAATACTGCTCCCTTAGCAATATTACTGGCATCTGTGGTTAGTGAGAATTGATTCTCGAAATTGGGATATACTAGTATCGGATCGGACATTATAAGTAATTTTAATTTTTCAAATGCTTCAAGGTATTGCTTATATTTTGTACTAATGACTGCACCTTTTTTTAGTCTTGCTGTCATTGGTTTTGCTGTTTTGGCAAAATTTGTGATGAACTTTCGGTAAAAACCGCAAAGTCCTAAAAAATGTTTTGATTCCCTTTGTTGTTTTAGGTACTGGGAATTTTTGGTTTGCTTCGATATTAGCTGGGTTAGGTTTTATACCTTCTGTTATTATTGTGTGGCCTAGGAATTCAGTTTGTTTTTTCATGAATTCACATTTATCTAATTGTTTTTTTAGATTGGCCCCCTTAATTTTGTGAATACCTTCCTCAGTGGCAATAAGTGTTCCTCCAATGAAGTGGAGTATAAATCTTCAAGGAGATTGCTTATGCAGAGTTGAAACGTTGCAGGTGCATTCTTTAGACCAAACGGCATTCGAGTTATGTCATCAACTGTGAATTCATAAGGGCTTCGATAGTCAATGACTATCCTAAATTTTTGTTTGCCAGATGCATCCCTCTTTTTGGGTATGATCCAAATAGGCAAACAATAAGGGGATTTCGACTAGCGAATTATGCCTTGTTTGATCATGTCTTTGATCTGGTTTTCGACTTCTTGGTCGAATGTTTGGGCGTATTTGTATGGTTTTTTGTAAACCGGGTCTTCATGTTTAGTTTGGATAACATGTTTAACAGTACTTGTGAAAGTCAAATTTTCACCTTCTCGGTACTGGATGTCACTAAATTCATGTAAAACTTTTGTTAATTTGATTTTCTCTTCATCGTTTAGATCATCTAGGCGGAATTCGTAGAGCTCAGAGAGTTCGTTGTTGATGGTGAACACAAATTGTTCGTTATCAGACGGGGGTGGAACGAGATTTTTGCTTCGTTCTCTGGCAATTCGATTTCTGAACTGTTTTGCATGGTGAATGTGTATTCATTTATTCATATGGTTTTATCTTTGTAATCTATTAAGGGGGTTTTGTGCCCTGCCTTGGCTTAAATTCTGGCTAACTCTTGGTTTATCTGTGGACTACGGTCAACTTGGGATTTTGGTTTCTGTAAGGTATTATTATAGTTCTGTTGATTTGATGTCTGACTAAAATTTTAGTTTTTCCCATACTCACGTTGATCATTGTTACCCCGATTTTTATTGGAAGTAGTCAGATTGTTTTGGTTATTCGGATTTTTACTTCTATCGGACCATGTTAAATCATAGACACCTTCGCTTTGTACTACATGTTTTAGCTTTTTTATGTCATGACGGGCTAATGTCATGAACAACCTATCGGGTAACTTCCTCATAATAACGTCTTTAACTTTATAGTTTAACGCGTTTGTGTAAAGCATAGTGTTCATCTGATTCTCTTCTAATATTAACTTATTAGATATGACATAAGATTTATAATCTAATTCTTCTAAAAACTTACGAATACTTCCGGTGAACGGTGTATTGTAGATTCTTCTTAAAAGCTCTTCGCATTGCGTTTGCGTCTTGAATTCTAAGATGAGCGCCGACCTCAATTCGGTTCAAGTGTTGGCGGCGGATAGCTGCGTGACCCTCTGCGCGTCTCCTTCTATTTGCATTTCTATGGCTCCGAACAGGAGCTGTGTTGGCGAATGTCCCTCGTTGGATATAGTTGCATGATGAAATCAATGCGCCTTATGAATGCGCTTAATTCTTCTGTGGCTCCATGGAAGGTTGGAACTTGCCTTATCTGGCCAAGTGCTTGTGAAAGATGTTGTTCGCTTAATTGAAATACTGGCTCTGTTGGTTGTGCCATGGTGTTCACTTTCACTTTTGTTGTTATTGTTTTCTTGGAGTAGTCTTTTTGGTTTGGTATGGCTTTATTTATTATTGCAGGGATCAAAGGATATGCAAGACCAAGGGCACACTCACTGTTATGTAGTGTATAAAATTCACTACCTAGTAATTCTGATTGTCTAAAGGATCAATACTTAATTGAGTACTAGATAATTGCAATGAAACTGCAATGTCAGTTTTTTGATTGACCTGGGATATATGTGATCCGTGAACGGTCAATAGGCACTCGCGGCAAGCTTCGCGTGTGTCCTTTTGCGGACACGATTAAGAATGAATGTGAATTTGCTTTTAAGGCCTGGGAATACAATTGTTATTTAATAGTCTTATATCACTCGCGTATCCTACCGGCTGCGCCATTTACATAAGCCAATTAAATAAGTCTTAATTATCAGTAGGCGCGACTTATTGGAATTTTACAGTTGTGCACGATGCAACTTGACGGGTCGAAGTCGTCAGTAGAACTCAATTATTAAAGTCTTGTCAACGCTTAGAAAACCTCGGCTGAGTTTCTGGAATATTCTAAGAGCCTGAATTTGAGCTGCGTTGACAATTGTTTATGTCTAATGGTTTTCGATTTAATGATCGAAGATAGCCCTTCTTTCTCATTTTTTAATTCAGGCTATAGTATATATGTATGAAAAAGTTATCAAAAGAGAAGCATAGATGCCCCGGCGATATTGTAGTAATGAGTTCCAAAATATCACATAGCTGCCAAAGAAACGATCGCTTTAAAAGTAGGTTCTTGTTTGAAAAATTTATTTACTTATGAAGATATCTTAACAATTCGGCATTTATTAGTTTTACTATACTCCTCATATATATGCAAAATCCTATAACCTTCGGTCTCCTATATAATACAGCTTCCATTGGAATGTTGATCGAAAATTAGTTTGAATTAAAAATTTTGTTTTCAAGATATATTGACAAAACTTGACCAAAGTTTTACATTTATGTAAAATCGTATTCACATCAGACTACTATATCATATAGCTGCCATAGGAACGATGGGTCGAAAATTAAAATATTGCTTAAAATATTGTATGGAAAACTTCTTTGTTTTTCAAGATATATTCACCAAATTTATTGCGATATCTCGGCCAAGCTCGGCATTTATTAGTGTTACAATATATATATCCTCTTATATATATAAACCTATCATTTAGCTTCATTAGGAACGAGCGGTCGAAAATTAAAATATTGCTTAAAATATTGTATGGAAAACTTCTTTGTTTTTCAAGATATATCCACCAAATTTGGCATTTAAGGGTTTCACTATGCTCCCTACGCATATACAAAATTGTATCTACATTGGAAGGTTATATCATCTAAGCAAAATCTTATCAGCATCGGACCATATATCTGCAATAGGAGCGTTCGGTCAAAAATGATTTTCTGGCATGGAAAGCTTTTTGTTTTTTATGATATCTTAACCATCTCGGCATTACCTTTTTTCTCTAAGCTGAACAATTATGTACTGTTCGAAAAGGCTACCCCCTCGGTTGTATCTGCGCGCTTGAAGATAAGCGGCTTTGTGGCCAAGCGTGCTCAGAAAAGGGTCTGATTAAGCAGGTCGTGCCATATCATTCCCAGGTCATATAAACACGTGCCACCAAGGGCACTTGATTGATTTTTTTGGAGAGTACCAATGCTCTGCTATGTGTAGTAGAATTTTGAATAAACTTTCTTTTTTGATATAAGGATTGCTTTTCCTGTGCTTCTTAGATTCGAGCAAAACATTATGAGAAAACGTTCAGTCTGCAAGGGTATTAACTCTTCGACGTGACGATAGCCCTTCTTTCTAATTTTTTAATTCAGGCTATAGTATATATGTATGCAAGTTATCAAAAGAGAAGCATAGATGCCCCGGGGATATTGTAGTAATAAGTTCCAATTTGTTGATGTTGTTTCATACATTGGAGCTTCTGCTCCAATTGTAAACTTTATTAATTGACTCTTCGGGTTTGAATAATTCGTATAATCTTTTCTTAGGTGCTACTTAGCTAAGACCGCGCGAACTGCGCTGCCAGCGACGCCGGCAGCGGAGCGGGTATATTATATACTTATATATGTATGCAGCATTGAGAGCCGCGCTGAGAGAGAGTATGTTATGTGCACTTATGTATTGTAGTGCGCAGCCGGCTAGCATGGGAACGCTGACGCTGCGTTGTTGCCTACACACACATATATGTGTGGTCATATTACATATGTATGCACTTGAAGTTTGCATATGTAAACACTGCAACAAAGTGTTACAGTGTGACAGTTTTATATATTTTAAATACAGTGCTTACTCTATATGTGCGCATATCACATCTCCCTCCTTTTGAAAAATAACGTAATATTATGAAGTTATTTTATATATTATATCATTAAATGTGTATATATTTAGAATCAAAAATTTTTTTTTCGTTTTGCGAATATATTATTTAAAAGGGTTTAAGTTTTTTTTTTTTGTTTGTTTATTTTTGATATTTGAATAAAAGAACATTGAAGAACATAAATGTTTTATCTAAAATTGTTATATTTATATGGTTATAAAGTATAGAATATAAATATAATTTTTTTTGTGTTTGTATGGCCATACTACAAAAATGATTATGTATTACAAATTTTTAACCTATCCTTATGTACTTTTTGTTTTTTATTTTTAGTATATGATATTACTATATTATCTCTATCCTCTATACCAGTTCCAATATAATTAAAATCTAGCTTATGATCTGTTTCGTTTCTTAGTAAGACTCTCCTATTGATATTCCTATGTCATTTACTTTCGAAGCGTATAACTGTTTATTCTTTCTTTTATTTTCTTCGATCATTACTCTTGCTCTTTTATATGCTACTTCTAATCAATATTTTCTTTCTTTAGCATAGTCTTCTATATTGTATATTGAATTAAAATACGATGGCAAATTACTTTGTTTGCTGAAAACTAACTCATATGGACAGTAGTTATGTGCCATAGAGGGAGTCGTGTTGAAACATCTGGTGGTGGTGTGCTGTAGACGTTAAATTGTCTATCTTTAAGTATTTGCGCAGGTCATAATAAAATTTTTATATTCAGTTCCCATGTCCGAAATGAACGTCTTCATTGGACCAAACTTCAGTATAAAAGATTCAAATATTTCTTTTGCAACTGTATTAGCGGATTTGTTTGGTACTGGAATAGCTACAAGATATTTTGTTAAATCCCATATCATTGTAATTGCATATTTGTTTCCATTTTCGGAGTTTGGTAGTGGACCTATAGTGTCCACTATCACTCTTTCGAACGCATTTATCGGCGTTTCTGTAATGGTCAGAGGTGTTTTTGTGTGTGTCGTTGTTTTCGACTTTTGGCATATAGGACATCTACGTATATATTTGGTTATATGATGTGTCATATTTTTCCAGTAGTAGTGTCTTTTTATTTTAGCTAGCGTTCTTGAAATGCCAGTTTGACCTCCTTGTATTGGATCGTCATGATATGTAAACAGTATCGCTTCTTGATCTTTTTCATTTTTTATTGTGGTCACCGGCTTGAGTAGCGCTACTCGTAATGATTTTAATATTTTGTTGCCCATATTTTTGAAAGATTCAATTGAAATTAATTCAAATATCCTTTCACTCGGTGCCAGTTTGAGTTGGCTGATTTCATGTATACCGGCTTCTTTTTCAAGCCTTTGGAAAAACTGACCTAAGTCAAATGTTCCATTGGTGTACAGATCGCTAACATCAATTCTTCCTATAAATTTTCTTCCATGTTTGAAGAAGCATATATTATTTAATATAAGCAAGGCCACTTCTTTTCGTACTTCGTCATTACAAATGACTTCATATACGTTGGGCTTAGAAGCGTTGTCAAGAGTTTGCATAGGCAAATCTACTTGATCTTTTCCTGCGCAGGAGTTTTTCTGTTTACTTTGGTGCCTGGTAGTGACTTACAGGACTTTAACTTGTAAGTCTTTGAGTTCTTTGATGGTTATTCTTGATAACGCATCAGCTACATAGTTATCTTTACCCTTTAGATACTCTACTGTGAAATCGTATTCTAATTCGAGCCGCATACGTGTTAACTTTGAACTAGGATTGACCATTGAAAACAAATCTGTTTATGGTCTGTGATCTGTTCGGACTGTAAAATGTTTGCCATAAATATAGGGTCGAAAATGTGTAATTGCCCAGTGTATTGCTGTTAATTCTTGTTCTGTTGTGCTTTTATTACTTTCTCCCTTAGTAAATGAACGTGATGCATAAGCAATTGGGAGTTGGAGCCCATTATGGTTTTGAGTTAAAACCGCTCCACAAGCTTGCTTACTTGCATCAGTTATTATGCAAAATCTGGGTATTGTAATAATATTGGGTTTATTAGTGCCGATTTGAGATGTTCGAAGGCATGCTGGCAGTCGTCTGTCCATTCGAACTTAACATCTTTTTTACATAATCTTGTTATGTGACGAGAATAGTCGGCAAAATTTTTTATAAAACGTTTGTAATAATTGCAGAATGCAACGAATCTTCGAGCGCTGTCCGCATTGTGTGGGACTGGATAATTTTTAATGACATCGTATTTTTTGTCGTCTGGCAAGATTCCTTTATCGGTGCATTTGTGTCCCATAAATGTGACTTCATGCATTATAAATGAACATTTTTCAGGATGTAACTTCAGGTTGTATTTCCTACATATCTTAAAAACATCAGTTAAGTTTTTAAGCATATGTTTTTCGGAACAACCTATAACTATTAGATCATCCATGTAAAGAAATGCCTGAGAAGGTTCGATCATCAATTCTGGGTAGTGGATATTTATGGGACAACAGTTTTTTATTAATCTGACGATAGTCAATTACTAATCGCCGTTTCTTATCTTCTGAGCCTGGAAGTGCATTCTTTGGACAGACGGACGGACGGACAGACGGACGGACATGGCTAAATCGACTCGGCTGTTGATGCTGATCAAGAATATACATATATACTTTATGGAGTCGGAGATACTTCCATCTGGCTGTTACATACATTTGCACAAATACATTATATCCTTTTTACCCATTTTCAATGGGTTCAGGGTATAAAAATTACCGAGAGATAGTAATGACCTTAATTATGTCGCCCTAACCGTGCTAACTCCCACGTCAGAACGTGTCTGTCTTCCAATATTCTTTTCACACGTCTACTATGTACAATTTTTTGGCCGTCTTAGGCTTGGTGTTAAAATTTGTTGTTCATATTTTAATTATAATAATTGTTGAGGAAATCTAGAAAATATAGTCTCTCTATATTCTTTAGAAGGTTGTAGTAATATAAAAATTGAAATAAAAATTGTTGTAATATAAAAATTGTTTGGTGCACATCTATTTATTAAGGCTTTAGAATAATAATTTAAATAACCCGGGCTATATATACCGATGGCCGATATGCTGAATATTTCTAGTACTTACCTAATTTTGTATACTGGACATTCATATATATTCTTTGTATCTTGTTTGTCCTGTGTAACCGCCTTAATATAAATAACAGGCATTGCAGGAAACAACTCTTTGTTAAGTGCATCTGTTATTGTGCTCAGTTTCATATCCCATCGTGCACCTTCCATAAATAAGCCATTTACATAGGCTCCCTCGCGAGGTGCAGAACTATATAGAAAGGTAAAATATTATCTAAAGATCACACATAATTTAAGAAGCTTACGTGAATTCCTCTTTGAATTTCTTTGTGACGTCGCAATTAAGACACATTCGGTCAAGTGGCCACTCATTTTTACGTGCTGTCTGCTGCATAATTGCAGTTAGTAATGATTGGGGATTGAAGAAGCCAGCAAGCCAAATGGATGATGGCAATCGAAAATCAGAAACCCAACTTTCTAACTCACGAAGACGTTGCATTAGGTCCCCAAACCACGACTGCAGGCCTAACAAGCTTGGATAGGCAAGCTTGGTCCACTGCTCAGGCACTTGATCCATATAGAGGCATAACATAAGATCCTCCATGACAGATGATATTGTGAGTTCTCCCTTTAGACCCAAATCTAATTCGTTAAGTGATCGTCTAAGCTCGGACATAAGAATATTCATCCGCTCGCATTCTTGGAAAGCAACTATAATATATGGATTACGATCCTCCACACGTCCCATGAGCTCTGCAATATTAAAAGGTGTGGGGACTTTATCGAGCAAATCTTCAATAACACCCTTTATAATATCCTCTTGTGAGACAGATTCACCCCCTCCGGCTGAACCACTTGACATTCGCGGCTGTAGTTCAAATACAATTCTGAATAGTCTTTCGGAAACTGTTGTAAGAAATCCAATTTCAGCATTTAAATTTAATCCATATAGGGAAGGACTCTCCAATGGCAAATTTTCATCGATATACTGATGATATCCAGCATATTTAAGAATTCCTGGGGCAGGAAAACCGGGGCAGAACTCTAAATCGCCATCGATGAGCTCTGGCTGCATAAATTCCTCAAGATAGGTGCGGCACAATCGACGATCCCAGTCATCTGTGATGTGGCCACCGTACATGATTTCTCCGAACAAATAACGTAAATCTTCCCAAGGGACACGAGTGTTAGCCTCCAAGTAATTAAATAAAACATATACTGAAATTGTAAGATCACCCACATTAAATGGATAGGATCGATTCCAGCCTTGTGGCCCAAATTTGCGACGTTCAGCCACGACGGCATGGAAGTAACATAGAGAGAAAAGAATAGCTTTAAACTCCGTTTCCTTAGAGCACATCTCAAGTGTCTCATCACTAAAATTGTCGAGGGCCTTGTGTATGTTAGCCATCATACCTGTCGGCGGTTCGTTGGTAATTTTAATAGCAGACTCCAGTATTCCCTGCGGTAAAATGTGCATCAGAGGGTCACCTGCCGGTTCAGCACTTAGAAAAAGTCTGTACTTTGAATTCACGTTAATAAGAGAAGCTTCCATTTTCTTTTCAAGACTAGACAGCCAGCGTGCAACTAGGTGAATATTTTGCAGAATGACCCAATGCCCTTGTTGTGAAGCTGTCTCAATAGCTTTTTCAGCAATAATTTCCTGTCCCTGACCTAACGAAACACTATGAAAGTTTTCATGATCAAAACTATAGCCTAACACCTTGCCAATTTTTTCTACATCTTTAAGTGGGTCAACACCTGGTGATAAAACAAAGAAGATATGAGTTTCTGGGCTTGACTCCTTAAAGGTTTTAGAAAATTCTATAGACCGTGCATCAATATACTTGGATCCTAATTTTTCGTCAATAAAACCTTTCATTGCATAAGACATGCGATCGGGTCGTATGCACCGCATTATGCAGAGCCTCTGAATTGCCGACTTTGCTTTCCATTCACCAGGTAATTTCTCATTCTCGGGGCTCTCCGAATCAATAAATTTCATCCACCTCTTATGCGATCCTTCGATATCTTTTTCTAACCCTTTAAACGCTGGCAAATTATTTAATGCACGAATGCCTCCCCATCCAACATGAGTCAGCCACGGAAAATTTGAGGTTTGATTGGGCATATACGGGAATCGGAGAAGAAAATCTAGTTCAGTAGGATCCACTTCGCCAATATTTACTAATATTTGAAGGCACATTTGAGTAAGAAAAATTAGTTTGTCCTGCTCAAAAAGCCCTCGAGAAGTGTAAATATAGCTGCTGTATGTAATTGATTCCATTAGATTTTCAACGCGTTCCTTGAGTTTTTCAGCTGGCGTAGAATTAAGCATTGCGTTATTAAATACTACTGTAAAAGCTTTTAATGAGAACTGATATATTGGATTTATCTTGAATAAATCATTTAGTATGAAATATATAATAGAGGCTCGCTCGGCGGCATGTCTGTATGCTTCTCGGGCAGAGTCAATTTGAACACCTGTAATTTTGGCCTCGGCTACCTTTACTTCAATTTCGTCGGCTGTTTTCTTCGTTTTTTCGAGGTTCATAACTAAGGTTATATCTTCAAGAACATTATCCCCAGCAGAGGACAATCGCGCTAATAGATCATCTTCCAAAAGCTTTAATGTAATTTTAAAATGATTTTGTTGCTGCGTAAGACGTGTACGCATAGCTTCTAAGTCAGGTCTTTCAACCTTGACTACCTCAGCCAATAACTGATCCTCTAAGCCGTCACGTGTTACTGTAAAATTAATAAGTGTAGTTTGTGCTTGCATTTCAGGCTTATAGTGCGGATTAGCTAATTTTGTATGCAAAATCAAACGAAAGTTGGGATTGAAGTCAATCTCACGGTCGCCGATCTTCAAAATAGTTCCTTTTTTGATCAGCATGCGACCAAGCAATGGATTTAGTACAGCGTCAACGTTCTCCCCAATGTTCTCTATCAAAAGTACGTTTCCATTGCTAACAGCCCGTTCTACAAAGTCAAGATATCCGCGTTGTGTAAGACGCAACACCACAAGACCTGGACCATATTTTGCTTTCACCCATTTTATGCCTTGTCTATATGTAAGATTAATTAGTTTATTAAAATTTTTTTTGGAAAATTCTAACTTACAGCTGAGGATCGATCATTAACGGATAGCGTTGGGATTGAACCAAAATAGCAGCATTCTCCGCAGACATACGATCACTAGGTAACCCTTGGTTATTCCACTCTGCAATTTGGGCATCATCACAGATCATTTCAAAAGGATCGGTACCCTCTGTCGAAGGTATTGGTGGCTGCAATTATAAAAATTATTACTTTTATTATTGTATATATTATAATATAATATATAACAAAATAATGATAATAATAATAACAATAATAAAAATAATAATAATGATAATAATACCAATAATAATATTATTATTGGGATTTCGAGCAACATCACTCTAGAAATAATTAAGAAGTTTTTTTTTCTTTCGTAGCAATTTGTTGGTATATTAATTGTTGGAAGACATGGGCTTTCAACTAAGTACTTGCTGGGCAGTAGGCATAGCTTGTTTGGAACTCCCCTTATCACTCCTGTTGCGGTGCGCAAGATGGCTGCGCAAGCGACTCCATCGTCTCCGTGATTCACGCCAGTGGTCACCTTAGTTGCGGAAGATTTTCGTCCTTCACAAGGACAAGGTCGTTAACGCATGCGCGTGGTTTTGGTGTGCGCCATTTGGAGTGCTGCTGAACCAGTGTTATATATTCTATATTATATTAATCATCTTCATGCCAGCGGGCCCAAAATAATTGGATATATGTTGAACTGCTGTGACATGATTAGCTACAAACATATTGAGCTTGCAGGGCTCGGTCTCTATCCAGGAAAGGTATACAGAAGAATCCGACCAGCAGTAGAATTTTTAAACGAAGATTTCTATTTTAGGACGGGCCCACAGAGCTCTAGCTTTAGAACTGTGATTGTTTTCAGAGGAGCTACACGCGATTTGGAATACAACAGCTGACAACTGGCTTGTGGTCGTTGAGAAATGACACAGGCACCATACGCTTCGATGCTGGCGTCGCAGAAATGACGTACCTTCCGGTATCCCTTTCAGTACAGCAGCATTACTTGAGCACCACTTTCGTAGCTTAAAGTCCCACTTGCCAGGATTCCAGCTGTCTGATTGAGAATTTCCTTTACTTCTTTAATTGACTCTCCCTCTTAAATAAAGTAGAAGTCACGCCGCAAAATCCGAAATCCAATTCAAGATCTAAGTCAAGTTCCACATCCATAGACAACTGATGCCTACCGTGGACAGAGAGAAATTATGGTTTTGTTCCATATGTAATAGTTTAAAAATCTTTACATTCTGTTCTGGCGAGTGTCGACGCAGAATGCTTTGGAGAAAATCTTCTAGTGATGTAACGCATACGAAGCGAAACAACGAGCTCTGAATAACAGGACCAGCTAAAAATCGTTCATTGAATGAATATCCTGACGAGGAAACTGCTGAGCTGTCGAAAACGACTCGCAACTTTGTCGTTGAACTGTCTAACTTAAAGACAAAGGGACGAGGGAGAAAATATTAAAAAAGTACTATGGACTCTGGAGCGACAGGTGACATATGACCCAGATCCAAGTATTCCTTTAAAAAATGTGAATACTGAGGCTTCAGGTCTGGACGATTTTATAGTTTCCGTTCCCGGGTCAGGAACCGACGAAAGTCTTGTTGGTATGACTTCTCAGAACTTTCCAAAATTCGCTTGAAGGGTAAACGAACCAAATATTGGTCAATATAGGCTGATATGAACTGCGGTGTTATTTCCCAGCACGCTTCTAATTCCCAAAATCGTTTCTCAAAATCATATATTCTTCAAAACTCGGCTCAAGCTCGGGCGGAAGCTTTATCTGGCCGACGCTGATAAGCTCGAAATAAAACATGTAAGAGGTTTTAGTCGGGAGCTCCCGACTAGGGGATACCCTGAGCCCTCTTATTCCAACACCAAATGCAGATCGGGCTACGCGCTCGTTTGCTTTAGTAGTAATAAAAATATATTAATTAAAAAATAAAAAATTCCCTTGGCAGGGTTCGAACTCGAAACTAATTGCACTATTGCCGCCTCTACTCAATAGCCTTACACAACCAAAAAAAAATGAATTGTATTCTCGGTAGGACTCGAACTCGCAAAATACCGCTCTACTTGCCGCCGCCTCTGCCCAACAACCACACCAATTATTGAGTCTTAATGAGAAAAAAACTAATTAAAATATCAGCGCAGAACACAATACAATCTCAATTGTTACTGTACTATAAAATATTCGGAATCAAACGCTATCTGCGCGGGCACTAGGAGGACCTACTTTCAAGTCTCTAGCTCTTATTGGTTCTAAGATCCTTGCGTTCATACATACGGATAGACGGACAAACGAACAGACGAACAGACGGACAGACGGACATGCCTAGATCGACTCGGCTATTGATGCTGATCAAGAATATATATACTTTGTGGGGTAGGAGATGCCTGTTACGTACATTTGCACAAATACATTATACCCTTTTTCATGCGGATAAAATTAGCTCAAAAATGCAAGTCCACGCTTTGTGACTTAAATAAATACGGATCTGCAAGTCCTATGTTAGCGCAAATGTTAACATTGTAGAGTTGATAGTAAATCTCGGTTGAATATCACTTATGGTAGGCGCTACCAGGTATGTGAGACATGTTAAGTACCCTGAGACTTGAGACTAAAGTAATACTGACCATAGTTTCTTCTGTGTCGAAACGAGAATCTCCAAAACCGGAGACAAAGGCTGAAGACTTTTTATACTAAAGCTGGTGAGCAGGTCGCGACGTAATAAGATGAAGCTGAGAACCGGATTCCAAAAGGGCACGAAAAGGTATAAAGCGAATTTTGGCGAACGTCACACCAGTGGCCAAGAGAACAACTTCTCAGCTGAAATACTGACAGCAAGAGAGGTGGAGGAAGAATAGATGATAAATTAGCAGCTTGCCAGAAGGAAAAGATGAGTTATTAATAGAGGAATGATGGTGATGAATGACCAATAACCAGGGCTGTCACAAGAAATGCAGACCGGGGCTCCGTGATCGAATTGCGTGCAGCGCTGAATCCTTCAGGCATGATTGAAGATGCTGCACAGAACGTAGGCAATTTAATGAGACAACAGTTTTGTCGAGAAATGGTGAGCAAGGCAATATTGAAGCGCGTCACGCAATTGGCTACCAGTTTTATCAAAGTTTAGTTCTTCTAGGCTGGTATGAGTACTTTCAAATGAGGGCTGAAGCCGCTCGATTTGCTTCAGCCTAACACTAAGGCCGCACTCATCAATTGCACAAATAGTCGTATTAGTTAGAGCATTTTGCATGGTTGCAAACTTTCATAAATTGGAATGGCTTTGCAAAATGTTGCACTATTGAGCTTTTTCAATAGCTTTCACAAATAGAAATAAATAACTTTATTTTATTTATTGTGTTCCAATTTATTTATATATTAATTATAAGTTACGAGGAAAATCTCATCAGGCTTTAGAAGTGCCTCAGAGGGCAAGTCCTGTATGCGGCGCGTGGAAAACTTATGATCCCAGCTACAGTGCCGTATGCTATAGGCACATTGCGAATGTTGTATGGCCGCTCTGAATTAGTACATGCTGCGCTGCAGCAAAAGCTACGAAAGGAACCAGCAAAAAAATCGGACATCTTGAACACCGTTATCCGCCTGGCCTTAGCTGTCCAAAACTATTGCGCAACGAAAGCGGCCATTGGTATGCACGAATATTTTTACGATCCCGCGCTGCTAAAGGAGCTTGTTGCTAAGATGCCCAGCAATATGAAATTGGACTGGGGATGGTATCGAATGTCAAATGATGGTAGCAGTTTGGCCACCTTTGATAACTGGCTGTTTAATGTGGCAATGTGCGCCACTATGGTCACGCCCTACGAGACACCACGGACTGACAACGAAAAGAAGAGCTCCACGAAAACCACTAGAGAGCGAATTTTTTTGCACAACACGGTAGATAGCCGTGAGGGCTCTCAGCAACAACGTTCTCAACAGGATCAGGAGAGGGTTTTATGTCCGAAGTGCGCCGGTAATCATCGTCTATCAGATTGCGACAACTTCAGATCCATGGGTACAAATCAGCGTTGGGAACTTGTTAAGAAAATGCGTCTCTATTTTTGCTACTTTATGCGACATCGTGCACAACAATGTAAATCAAAAAAAGAAATGTCATGTAGATGGTTGCGAGTCAACGCACCATGTGCTGCTACATACGCCTACCATGAGTGGTAGTAAAGACGAGCACGCGGGCCAAGGTAGCAACAACAGGATTAAGGCAAGGGAGTCTGCCGTTCTGTTTCACGGCAGCTCCGCAAGTAAGACACTGTTTCGATATGTTCCAATCACGCTCTATCGTAAATCAAAAAGCGTGCGCACACATGCATTAGTGGATGAAGGAGCTGAGTGTACGTTAATAGAAAGAACGCTTGCAGACAAGCTGGAACTAGATGGTCCTGCGACCCAGCTGTGTCTTAAATTGACAGGCTACAACCAGTCGATGTCTGTGGCTGTGAGCATTTCAGCTCCAGAACATAACGCAGTCCAGTAGGCGTTACAAAACGTGCGAACTATAGCGAACTTGGACTTACCAACGTAAGGGCTCGGCTTATCATTGGTTTAGACAATATCAAAATAACTGCACCCTTGGAGATACGAGAGGATGAAAACGACGAGGTCACAGCAGCGCGAAGTAGACTAGGATGTGCCGTATATGGCCGCCCCATTGTGGGAGACAGCAGCCCGCCTCGGCTGCTACATATTTGCCAGTGCAGTGCGGCGCGTGGGATGGATGAAGCTCTGAAGAACTATTTTTCACTAGAGTCACTAGGTGTGAGCGTTTCCTCACATCCGCTGAGATCTAAAGATGACGAACGCTCGATGCAGATTATGGAGGCAACAACTACCTATCTGGAAGACGAAAGGCGCTGGCAGACCGGCCTGTTATGGAGGTTTGATCGCATGCATTTGCCAGACTCTTATCAGATTCCTGTTAAGCGCCTTAAATGTTTAGAGGCAAAGATGTCAAAAGACCCACCACTGAAAGAGTTCGTGATGAACACGATGCACGACTACAAACAGAAGAGATATATCCGCCGGCTGAAGGATAGTGAGTTAGTAGCTAACACGACATCGTGGTTTCTTCCAATCTTTACAGTCACCAATCCGAACAAGAAAAAGACGCGCCTGCTATGGGATGCGGCTGCCAAAGTTAGTGGCATGTCA